CTTGGTCATCTCCCTGTTGACATCCGGTCGAGAACACCCTGATCTTGACGACATTCATCTATGGCTTCGGCTGGAATCGATCAGAGAGAATGCTGAATAATTATCACGACGTAATTAAGAAATAATTTTGAAATCTCGAGATTAGAGATTTTGTACATTTGTTTCTTTTCCGGAAGTGAAAGTAGACCTCCGGCGTCGATCTTTTGTTCCTTTTTGTGTAGAGTTTCCAATTGGGGTTGGTGTAGAATTTTCATATGTTTTTTTTAAGAAGAATTTACAATTTTTTCTTTCTGATTTCTAGGTGTTATTTCGTAAAAAGAAAAAAAATTAATTTGTTAATTGTTGCAACGATTGTATAGTTTGTTGTGGGAGGATGAGATATCGGCGCCAACGCTTTCGGATAACATCCGAAGCTGGAGAGCCAGAGAGGATAGGCCATCGAGTCCGCCAATTTAATTAAATTGGGCAAACATGAAAAATGGAAAAATAATCGATTTATGAGAAAAGCTTAATCATGACTTAACCATAGCATGATTTGCTAGTAATGAAACAACAAGGCAATGGTCTGAAAAATCGTGCACTTCAACGTCGGATTTCAGGCGTTGTTAACCACTAAGCGCGGATAATTTAGGATGAATTAAACATTATAGTTGTGATGCATTGGGTATTTAAGATAGAACTGGTGTAACCACAACTACACGTTCGTTTTAAATGATGGAAATTGGGATCGTAACCGGAGGCCATGGGCACTGATGCGCCTTTGGATAAGTAAAGTGATGATGGGAAAAGACAGAGTGTAAACAAATGTCATATTTTAGGAGTCGATCTCTATTTTGAGTTAGATTGGGCAAACACGAAAATGGAAAACTCCATTTTTTAGAAAGCTTAATGACGACTTAACCGTATCATGATTTGCAAGTAATGGAACAACAAGGCAATGGTCTCGTAAAACATGCACTTGAACATCCGATTTCGGGCGTTGTTAACCACTAAGCGTGAATAATTCAGGATGAATAAAGCATTATAGTTGCAATGCATTGGGTATTTAAGATAGAACTAGTGTAACCACGACTAGACGTTCGTTTTAAATGATGGAGGTTGGGGTGGTAACCAGAGGCCGTGAGAACCGATACGTCTTTCGATAAGTAAAGTGAAGATGGGAGAAGACAAAGTGTAAATAAAGTTCATATTTGAGGAGTCAATCTCTATTTCGAGTTAAATTGGGCAAACATGAAAATGGAAAAACTCCATTTCTGAAAAAGCTTAATGACGACTTAACCATATCATGATTTGTTAGTAAAGAAACAACAAGGCAATGGTCTCATATAACATGCACTTCAACATTCCGATTTCGGAGTTGTTAACCACTAAGCGTGGACAATTTAGGATGAATTAAGCATTATAGTTGCGGTGCATTGGGTATTTAAGATAGAACACTAGTATAACAACGAGTAGACATGCATTTTAAATTATGGAACTTGGGGTCGTAACCGGAGTCCGTGGGTACCGATACGCCTTTGGATAAGTAAAGTGAAGATGGGAGAAGACAGGGTGTAAATGAAGGTTATATTTGAGGACTTGATCTCTATTTCGAGTTAAATTGGGCAAACATGAAAATGGAAAAAATCCATTTATGAGAAAGCTTAATGACAACTTAACCATATCATGATTTGTTAGTAAAGAAACAAGGCAATGGTCTCATAAAACATGCGCTTCAACATCCGATTTCGTGTTGTTAACCTCTAAGCGCGGATAATTTATGATGAATTATGCATTATAGTTGCGATGCATTGGGTATTTAAAAGAGGACTAGTGTAACCATGACTAGACGTTCGTTTTTAAATGACAGAGGTTGGGGTTGTAACCAGAGGCCGTGGGAACGGATACGCCTTCGGATAAGTTAAGTGAAGATGGGAGTTTCAAGCTCAAATTTCTTTCTTATCTTCGAGGGATTTAAATAGTAATAGTTAGAACGACTATTTTTTATAATAGAAGTTCCAAAATGTTATTTTTATTTAACTTAAAAGATGCAAATCAAATAATGAGCTAAAATTGCATTTGTGGCGTTTAAGTAAAGTATCATTTACGATTACATTATCTTTGTTCTTATGCTATCTGTATTCTATATCTGTTTCTTCTTATAATATTTATTGTAAGAAACTGTGATCTTTTGTTAACGAGATATATATATATATATATATATATATATATATATATATATATATGCATTCGTTGTTTAGGTAAACTTGCCCATTCTAGAAAGATATTATTTACATAGGGACGAAACCAACATAAATTGTATATCTTAGTAGAAAATTTCTCGTAAAAAAAGCCATTAGTACTATAATGGCAATGAAACTTCTTTGTTGCAAAGAGGAGATTCTTGTCTAGACCAGATCCATCTACGTGGGACTCACATGACCAACGACTAAGATGGATCAACAACTTAGACCTAAGCCAACTTTTTGCCGCTTGCGGTTGCAATTGGTATGCACCACATATGACCTATTTTTCATCAAAATGCTAGTAAGTCGTGAATAGCGATAAGGTAATGAATGACATCTAGTAAGCAAAGTATATTATATTGCCCGTTTGATGTAAGTACTACATGACTATATGAGGTCCAAAAAGTCCTAAACATTTCAATAGTGTCAATTTAGTCCTAAACTTTTTTAAAGATTTGTCGATTTAGTCCTAAACTTTTTAAAGATTTGTCAATTTAGTCCTAAACCTATTATTTGGATATTTAGCAAGAAGAAGTACATTAACAAATCGTCAAAAGATTTATGACTAAATTGACTCATTAAAATGTTTATGACTAAATTGACATCGGTACTATAGATTTACGACTTTTTAGATAATTTTCCTTAACTTTATGCAAAAGTTAACTACCTATGACCAATATCATAGAGTTTTCTAGTAACATACTAGCATCGAAAGCAGAGGTCTGTCGAAGTGATTGCATCATCATGATTCATAACCTTTAAAGCATCCAAAGATATGCCTAAGGTATTTGTGAAATCCTTGGGTTAATGCATTTGACATCTAGTTTTGGTACGCACATTAAGAATGCATTTAATTCAGCTTTACTAAAGGACTTTCGACCTCCAAAACCTCTTGAAAAAATATTGGGATGTTTGGCAAGCCATCCTAAGTGACTTTCAAGTCAAAGCCAGCATTGGGAAGGTTGAAAGCCCAATGCTAGTAGGAGCATTGGGCTTTCAGCATTTGGCCTAATATTGAAACTAATTTTTAATTTTTTTCTTTCAAAACTCTTTCACTAATTCTTTCATTTTGCGGTTTTTCCCTTAGTTATTACTGTTCATCTTTTTTGTGCGAGGGTAGTTGACCAAAGCCGACGAGGCCAGATCAGGATGGTGAAGGGCCCGCAAGGGGACGGCAAGGTCGTGCGATCTTGCCAACAGTCGCCTAAGGTCGCGCGACCGCCCAAGCGACGATCGCTTGGGTCAGGCGACCTCAGGCCTCGTCGACTGGGGTCACGCGACCCCAGGCGATGGCTGCTTGGGTCGCACGACCTCAGACCTCGTCACCGAGGGTCGCGCGACCTCGGTGAGGGCTGCCTAGAGTCGCACGACCCTCGCAGGGGATTGTACGACCTTGGGTGACGGCCATTGGCGACCCTAGCCCTTTGTCGGAGCTGGGGAAGGGTTTTCTTTTTTTTAATAAAAAAAACCCAAAAGCTCTTTACAAAAAATTTGCCAAACACTACTTGAGTCAAAGTATCTTTATAAAAGATTTTTTGCCAAATGCAATTTGCATTTTCCCAAAAAATTAAAGGCATTTTTATTTCTTTAAGGCCCATTTGCAAAGTTGAACCAAACGCAATTAAAAACTACAAAATCACAAACTTCTCAAAGCATTACAATCCGTCCGCCGGTATCAGGTCGAAGAGCGTCGAAAGAAAGGCTTTGATAAGTGTTATTTAGTTCAAATACTATTGTTTGAGGACAAAATATGTAGTAAAATCAAGTTCGAGTACTATAAAATTCAAGTACAAACCCAATTGTGAAGGTGAGTACTCACCAAGGGTGGAGCATGAGAACCTCAAGGTAGGGTGCATGCCCTTCACCTCGAAACACTAAGCTTAAATGCTTATATACCTCCATCTAAGCTTGATTCATGCGATTTTTGTGTGGTTAAGAATTTGGAGATCTAAGTTTCCTAACAAGCCCAATGTCAATAGAGAAACAACGTAGATATCACGAATCTTGAGATTTACCTCGATTGGTACGATTTCTGGAGAACACGATCTGGCACGTGAATTAAATGATCAAGTTACCGCTAGAAAACTTAAAACCATGCCTAAGGTACTTGCAAATTATTTTAGACTATGGAGCTTCCTAGAGTCGAAAATCTTACCTAGATCCCAGGAAAGTTCAAATTACCTTGATTGGTACAATGTGTAAGTTTTGACTGAGGACTTCTGCTTCGAACGACGTTAGGTCAACTCAAAGTATTGATGAATTTGATGTCTAGTTTCAGGATGCACGCCAAAAACTAGGAAATCACAAACTTCTTGAAGCATTAAACTCTGTCTACCGATATCAAGGGTCGTGGATCAACCGTTATATACATAAATTGAGCGCATAAAAAGAAAGGCTTTGATGAATGCTACTAAGTTTGAGCACCATTAATTATAGGATGAAACGACATAGTCAAATTCCATGAAAATCGATAAGATAGGCACCTTTCTTACTAATTCGTCATGTTAATATGATGTCATTCTCGGCGATGCTTCTATATAATAACGAGAAGATTCTTGCGTAGCTCCGAGTCCATAGACGTGGGGCCGATGCTATCAAAGACGGGGTGTGTCGATCCACCATACCTAGATCCAGTCGAATCCAAAAGTGTGCTCTAACTTCGACCTACTTTTCATCGAATCCTAATCAGTCGTGAATTGTCGTGTTACCCGTTATATGTAAAAAAGTAGTGCATGATGACTATATGCGAAATTCAACTGCCTATGACCAACATCATTAAAGTGCTCAAATCTACTTACCAGCACCGAAAGCAGAAGATCTGTCTGAAGTGATCCCTTCATCATGCTTAATGACCTTAATCATTATCGTTAAGCATCCAAAGATATACATTGGGTTCCTCAACCATCAAACACCACTTACCATGCGAATAATTACTGAATTACCAACAACCTCTCCAAGTAAAAACTGTGATTAGGTGGCGATAAGAGCAATGACTACAGCAATTTTCTACTGCTTCTCGACGATATTGACATTTTCCGAGGAATGCATTTGCCTTTTGCCGATGACTTCTCCGTCTTCTCTTCCTTCGCAGCATCTCCCACCTCGGCCTTGGAGCTCCTGTTGCACGAAATTAGAGCAGAGATTTTTGGTCATGTAATGATTTTCCACATTCGCAAATTAAAAATAACAGAAAAGTTGCAAATTAATTATGAAATTTCAATGCGTTAATCGTTCTAATGAGGTGCGTAACCTCTCTTTTCGCAAGCATGGAATTTGTATTTTGTTCTTTATTTTAGATGAATCGCACGATTAGACGAATGTGGCGAAGAGGGAGCTACTTTATAACCACATGGAAAAAGGGTATTAGCCGAAATAGCAAGTGATCTATGTTCAAGTACCTTTAAGAGAGAAAAAACTCATGCCAAAATAGCAAGTGATCTATGTTCAAGTACCTTTTAAAGAGAAAAACTCATCTATAAAACAATCTAATAAATTATATATGAATGTTTAAACAAGTGATTTATATAAATCTGCGAACTTATTTTATAAACCCATTACACTAAACTTGCATTGTACCATTTTTCTATATTTTACTGTGAATGATGTGATTGGCCCATGAATGATGATGATACATGGGTGAAAAGGGTGGATTGTGAGTTTACCACGAAGTGGAAACTGGTATAACTTCAAACGAAGGGCAAAAGATTTTCACCATCACATTGCAACACTTTAGTACCTAAAATGTCAACAGATCACATCATGTGCCAACGGGCCTCATGCCCAAGCAAGAAATCGGTTTGAATCAATCAAATCTTTAAATTGCCAAACTAATCTTTTTGACATTGGAAAACACATTATCATGGGCATTTGTCAAGTATATTTACTTATAAAAAATCTCACTTTTAATGTTTTCTTTATGAGTAATACAGGAGGAATGAACTAGCATCGATAACTGCAACTTGTGTTTTCAAATGGGCATGTAATAAATGCGCAATAAAATCAAAATATCGATAGTGACGATAAAAATAAAAATGAGGGAAACATTGATAAAACCCAATAAAGATGCATGACGGACCGAGTCAACCCTTACCTCTCCTCGTTAAATGAGTTGGACTTCTTGAGTCCACCCGCCCCGACTCGGTCCTCGCTCATCGACTCGACGATGCTGCCGCTGAAGTACTCCTTCTCCTCGCTCTGCACGTTCCCGAACCGCGGGTTCTCCGACATGCAGCGTATCATCGCCGCCTCGTCGTCCGCCGCCGCTTTCGCCGCGCTCTTGCGCAGCACTCCCCTGTGCAGGTCTCCGTCGCCGCCGCTTCCGGCGGCGCTGGCGCTGGCGCTGGGCGGTGCGGCCTTCGCCTTGGGGACGGCCAAGTTGCCGCCGCACGCGATGAGCTGGAGGAGCACCGAGTTGCTGCTCCTGCTCGGCGCCGCCGGGTCCCCGTCCTCGAAACGAATCTCGGCGTCGCCGCGCCCCTCGCCACCCTTTTCGGCGGCTTTGGCGACGGTGGAGGGTGGAGCCGGAGGCGAGCCCGAAGGGTCGTCGGTGTGGCGAGGGAGCTTGTCGCCGCTGTCGTCGCGCTCCTCGTCGAGCTCGTCCGTCGAGACGCCGCGCGAGCAGCGAGAGCCAGGCGTGGGGGAGCTCGTGTAGCTCGCCTTCTCTTCGTCGGCCAGCTCGCACTCTTCCTCCTCTTCCGCATCGGCCTCGAAGCTGACCCTCTCGTCGTACCTCGAGCAGCGCAATTCCTGTTCTTCGTTACGGGTCGCCGTGGCCGTCGCCATTTGCTTCGAATGGACGTGGACCGGTTCTCTGCCGACTGTTCCGCTGTTGCTGATGATCTCCGACCCTTTGAGCACGTACTCGGCTCCCTCCGCCGGATAGATGACTTCATTCTCCGACAGGTCGTTCCACACATATCCGTTTTTGTAGGTCCTACGTAAGGAAATCAAGAAGCTGTTGAGGTTTCCTCTATGCCACCACGTCTAAAGCCTCAGATCACTCAGTTTTTCTTGTTGCTTTTACATGGCGATCTGCAGAAGAAACAAGATTTGCTAGTTCTAGTTCGTCCATACCTTTTGCAAGACCAAGAATACATCGAGAGCATTCCCTTGCCTCTAAGCGCAGTCAACCGCTCCATCACGTCTGTTGACGACAACACCGTATGAACAAGAAGAAGAAATACTGATTGAGCCAAAACCCCACAAAGAAAATTGAGTGAAGAGTCGCATCGCGTTCCTTGGTGATACCTCTCAGACGGAGCTGGTGATTGGCAAGAAGACAGACCTCCATGAAGTGAGGGTGTTCGAGGAGGCCATTCCGGGTGAGGTAGTACACGACCTGAACTTTCCTGAGCTGTGGTCTCTGATCTCTCGGACGCATGGAAGCCCTGGCTTTGTTCGGGCTCATCTCTCTGCCTCTTCTCGAACGCACGTCCATTTCCTTCCTCTCCGCTCTCTCTCTCTCTCTCTCTCCCTGTTCTCCTCTCTTCGGTTGTTGAGGGAATTTATCAACCACACCAGCTCGCGACCCCACACTCACACACGCAAATCGAAGCGAGAATCGAAACTGAAAAAGGAGATGCCGGTGATTGAGACAAGACCTGTACGACAGGCAGAGAAAAGGGGGTAGGGGTCAGGTTTGCTGTTAGAGGAGGAGTGATGTTGTTGACTTTGGGTTTTGCTCTGATCCCGATTCGAAAGCAGAAAGGGTGAAAAGTGAGAAAAAGGCTGAGTGAAATCTACAGAGATTGATATTTTCTCGAGGGAGTGTGCATGTGTGTGGTGAAGAAGGTGGTGTCACTGTGCAGGCACTTTTTGCCATGTCTCAGAGGGCTATAGATTCTAGGACGCTTCAATGCGTCCATGGCGTTAAATGCCTGCACTCCGTCGCTATTGCCTCCATTGATCGCGTCGAGGTCCCGACATCAGCATCACCACTTTCTGCAGCTTCGTCGCCTTATCTGAATGTGTGCCACAAGACATATTTCCTAGTCTCTAGGCAAACATCTTGACAGTGTCTTGGATTGAAGAGTCAACGGGCCGCTCCTTCTTTTGCTGATTTGAGTGAGGGCATATGAACAAACCCTAATTACTGGGAATGTATGCTAAAATTCTTAGAATAATGATGTTAAATCCTTGCTCTCTAAGTTTCGATTTCGTTTCTCACTCTAATAATCTCATGTTTGTCATACATTAAGCGTAGTGAGGTCAAAAGTCTAGAAGATGTGGTCACTTTAGAGAAGGGCTAATTCTCTTGAAAACCACCGACTTTAGGTTTAATCTCAATTCTACACCAATCATTTTTTTTGTCTAAAAATAATCTCCAACTTTCACTCTAATCTTAAATCTGCTGATGCGTCCAAAATTGCCACTAGTTTCTTCAAGATTATCTATATCATAAGGTGGCTGTTTGTATATACGGAGGTGAGGGTATTGATGAAGACGGATATTTTGATAATGTTTAACTACCCTGATGTTGGTAATTTTGAAGAAATTAATAACAATTTTTGAACGCATGGACGGATTTGAGACTAGAGTGAAAGTTGGGTTTTTTTAAGATAGAAAAATTAGGAGTAAAATTTGGATCGGACCTAAAGTTATGGCTTTTTAGGAAATTAGGCCCTTTAGAGGAGTACTAAATAGAATCCATCATGGTATTAAGAAGCCCAATTTCCCCCAATGGATTTTGGGCTCCTTAAATGGCCGAGCAATTCTTATTGACAATGGCCAATCCCGTTACAATTATCACTCTTCTTTTTCTTTTTGTCAAATACTCGCATCTTTTCTATTCTATAATTTTAAGTATGTTTGAAGTGACCAGTTGCTAAAAGATATTAACTTGGCCGCTAAAAAGAAATAAAAAACAAAATGCAAGTTTTTTTCTTTTTGATAGCATGAGGTATAACTTGCATGAAGTGCTCAAGATCAAGATTAAGTTTTTAATTATTAAGTAAAAGATAAAGATTGATATAGTAACTAGTTTTAGTTGTTTTTGAAGAAAATAATCATGTAAGGAATTAAAAATGATTCACTAACTGAGAAGAGATTGTTGAAGATGGATGAGTTTTCCACAATGGAAAAAAGTCGAAGACAATTTTGATTGAATCTCTATTTTGTCCAATATTTTATATCAATCTATTATTCAGATATTCTTCGACGTATATTTTAAAGAACATGAAATTAATAGCATTCAACTCAATCGGCTGAATCTATTATTGCCTGTTGTGATTCTTTATTATGACGCATTCACTAACTATTTAAATTTTTGTATCTGTGAATAAAAATAATCAAGTTATTAATGAGTAATGACTACATGTGCTAAAAAATATACATTGGGCGTGAAACCATATAAGATTCCCTCTAAGACCTGGTAGTTCTATCAAATTGATCATTATATGCATGATATGATATCACTTACACTGTTGGGAACATAGTTTGAATGGTCAGATAGTAACAATACAATTGCGAGAATTGCACAAGTCCTAAATCTTATGTACATACTGCAATCACGTTTCAAATTTTTGAGTTGATTCAATCAAGTCCTAAAAATTTAATAAAATGTGAGAAAATTATCCAAAAAGTCCTAAGCCTGTTGCACTTTTGTCAATTCAACCATAAACTTTTCAATTTTATCAATTGAGTTCTAAACCTTTGCACATATTGCCAATTGAGTCCATTCGATCAATTTTGATTGGAAATTTTTTACGTGGACGCGGTTGTCTTACGTAGAATGCCCAACACTAATGTGGACAATTTTTAATATTTTTTGTGATTTTTTATTTTTTCTTTCTTTGTTTTTCCCTTTCTTCTTCGTTTTTTTAGTGATCGACCATAGGCAATGGCCAAGGCAAGGCCCGGCCGGGCAAGGGAGAGCCCTAGCAAGGTCTCCCCTCGCTGGGCGTCGCCCGGGCAAAGGTGACACTTGGTGAGGCCACCCTAGCTTAAGGGAGGGTCAGCCTCACCGGATTCCTTGTCGGGACTTCGCCTAGGCGACTCTTGGCGATGCTGCCCTCGCCAGGGCTCGCCCTCACTTTGCCGGGCCTCACCTATGGTGGGTGATGGTGAGCCTCCCTCAGGCAAGGCCAACTTGCTTGACCATGCCAGTGGCCGGTCATTGGCAAAAGAAGGAAGAAAGGAGAAAAAATCAGAAAAAATAAAAAAATATTATTAAAAATTAGTTACATCAGCGCTAGTCGTGTCACATAAGACGGCCGACATCCACGTAAGAAATTTCCGATTCAAATTGTCCGAATGGACTCAATGGCAAAATGTGAAAAGGTCTAGGATTCAATTGATAAAATTTAAAGGTTTAGAATTGAATTGGCAAAAGTGCAATAGGTTTAGGATTTTTTGGACAATTTTCCCAACAAAAGTCTAATTAAGTCCTAAAATTTTCAATTGGTTCAATTAATTCCTATTAATTTATTAAAAAAAATGCAATTATGTCCTTTAACTTATGTTGACAGTGAAATTGAATGATGCCATGCATGTGATTTTTAAGTAGCACGTCATTGAAATGATTTGATTGTATTTTTTGAAAAAGATTCAAGACTTAATTGAATCGATTGAAATGTTTAAGATTTTGGACTTTCGGTGCACTATTCCCCAACACAATCTAAAGTGTCGAAATCCAACTTGGAACAATGGTGGCAATCCTTGACGCGATGCAAGAACACAATTCAAACATGACAAAGTGAAATCAAAACTCGATAAGGTAGACTTAACTTGAAACTCACACGAATTTATATGTTTGGCAAAATAACATTTTGCAGTTGTATCGAAATATTCCGATAATGACTCAATAAACGGTACGAGTGCGATATAAAAACATGTACTGTCAGCCTTACTTGGAATGGGAACTGGCATCCCATATGGGCACACGTTGCTAGCAAGCAGCGGGTACCTGTTCCTTTTCTTCTTCCGCGTGCACTCTGTCAAATCCTTGCCTATTTCCCAAAACCCTTAATCTCGTCGTGATGTGATGAGTACCTGTTCCTTTTCTCCTAGCCTACTTTGGACTTTGGAATAATAATTCTTTCCTTTTTTCAGTTTCCTCCTAAGAAATCATTAGCCACAAAACGATCCTCCAAGCAAAAGCAAAGAACAAAACGGATCACTGTTGACTTCGTGCAGCAACGCTCACGCACCGACCGCCCATGCCCCCACTGCACGTAATTATACCTTGACCCATGGGAAATGGTCGGATGCTCTTGAAGGATCCACACGGCATCGGTCTACTCAACCGGCCTAGGAGCATGGGAGTAGCTCACAAGATTCGTTAGTTTCTTACGAGAGGAGTGGGCTGGATTGCATATTCTGTCTTGACCATATGATGCATCATGCTGCAATATTTGAAAGGCATTGGATATTTCATTGTATGGCTTATAGGGTTGGTTCTAGATGACCGCCTCTTACTAAATGCTGGCCTTATTTAATGCAAGAGATCCACAAACACGTACTTTGGTTGCACTATGAATGAAAAGTTGAGGCATGATCTAGAGCATGCAAGCCCGATTCAGAAGTACCGTTAGATAAGGTGGATCCTATATTAGTTTCGTAAGATCCGACGATGCATGTGCTTTAGGCTCACATGTACTGGTATCATGAATATGGTTCATGATAAATTCCCCACCCTTCATGCTCATATGCAATTTTCCGTTCTTTTCTTTTCTTTTTCTAAATGATAAACTTGGAATATCCATACTTGAACATCCAAGGTTGGGGTAGTTGTGGGAGATTTCCGACGTAGTGTTGGGAGATTCCCAATTGAGGAATTGGAGGAAACTCATTTGAGTTTCACGAACTATGTGCAAACTATTCTAAATCAGAATTACTTGCGTAGGTCAAAAGTTTGGTTTTAACAGGTTGATGAGTTTTGTAGACATGGACCTCTAGGTAGCTCGGTGTCAAGCTCGTTACCTTGGATTTAACAAAAAAAAGATATTCTTTGATTTACAAAACATATGGGCATATATCATCTGAAATATTAATCATGTGGGTCCCGTCTTGGAGCTCGTATCATCAACGGTCCAAATGAATCTAATCTCCATAGTCTTAATACCAAATCCAATATTCTTAATCTAAGACTCCATTCGTTTCGAGGAAAATGTTTTCCAGGAAGCCATTTTCCTGAAAAATGGCACAATTTTCTGGTGTTTGACTGAAATCTGAAAAGTCTCGGAAAATATTTTCCTCCTTATAATACTTTTAACAATTTTTTAATTTTTTTTTAATTTTTTTTCCTTCTTCTTCTTCCTCAGCCGGTGGTTGGCCAAGGCAGCGGCCGGTGACCGGCCATAGGCAAGCTCGAGCCTCGCTGGCTTGTGGCGAGGCTCCGCCTCGCCTGATTCGGTAAGCTGGGTGAGGCTAAGGCAAGCCAGTCATCGGCTGCTGCAGTGGCCGGCGACTGGCTAAGGAAGAAGAAGAAGGAAAAGAAAAAGAAAAACAAAAAAGAAAAAAAAGAAAAATAAAAAGATAATTAAAAATAATAAAAAATTAGAATTTTAAAGAAAAGAAAATAAAAATAATTATAATGATTGATGAAAGAAGGAGGGGGAAAATGTTTTCTTCTTTTCAAAAAGTGGAAAACATTTTCCTCACTTTTGAATGCGTTTTGTCCATTGGGGGAAAATGTTTTTCATAAATAATTTATTTTCCGTGAAACGAATACCGAAAAACCCAGAAAATATTTTTCTGAAAGTTTTTTTTCATGAAATGAACGGAGCCCTAATTTGTGGAGTGAGTTTCGCACAATAGTCATCAATCATGGGACTACACTCAAATGGGTCAAGTCAACACAAAACCCGTCTTTTACTCTCAAGACTTTCAGGTACGCAAGTCTATAAATGTGTTGGCTCTCCCTCTCATTTAAGGTCACAGCAAAGAAGCGAGCCAGAAATGGCGCACCGTCATCACCATTCGTTTGTGCTGCTTTGTTCTCTCTGTGTGTTCCTTCCCTCGACTCTCGCCCAGACCGCCGAGTTCAACTTGCCCCTCAAGGCTGTGAACCTCGGAAATTGGCTCGTCACCGAGGGGTGGATGATGCCTTCTCGGTTCGATGGACTCAATGGGCAGCTCTTGGTAAGTGCTTGAAGATAAAAAGAGAAAGTATCGGCGATGTTCCGTAGATTGTTATTTCACTTTCTTTGACACACTTTTTAATCACGGTTTCGTGATTAGTATTGTTGGGCGATTGCAAAGTTTCTTCTCAGGTCCAATATGAATATATATGCCTGCACTAGATACAACTTAATTTCTAAGATATTTGAGAATGATACAGTTACAAAACGAGATGTTTGGCATATGTTTATGTGTTCTAGTACATGATTTTAACATGACATTGGTACAATTTACTCAAATTAAGTTGTCGAATGTCCCAGAACGTGTTTTTAATCAAACATTTCTTTCCAATATATTGTCAGATTTCTGACATACAAATATGAACCTGGTGTTGGTTTGATCTGTAAATATGAACTCACTATTACCCCACTCAGGATGTGCATATACACTGTTATCTGTTTGGTCGATAAACATATCACTTCACTCTTTCAATGAGATGAACCACGTCCCGTTTTCCTGCTTTTGTTTCAATGGTAGGATGGGACTCAAGTGCAGTTCAAGTCGACGAAGCTAAGGAAGTTCCTGTCCGCTGAAAATGGCGGCGGAGCCACCATCGTTGCCAATCGAGACCAGGCCTCTACCTGGGAAACTTTCAGGGTGTGGCTTTCTGTCTCACAGAATTGACAATCGTCTTGTAGACAAGCTCAAAAGATTCACACGCCGTCCAACATAATTTTCGCTCTCTTTCTGTGGTGCAGGTGTGGAGGATTTCCGACAAAAAATTCAACCTCAGAGTTTTCAACGAGCAATTTGTCGGATTGCAAGGCCAAGGAACAACGGTTGTTGCAGTTTCTGGTAACCCGAGTACCTCGGAGACTTTTGACATTATCAGGAATCCGAACAATCCCAATCAAGTTCGATTTCAAGCATCTAATGGGATGTTTCTCCAGGTAATTCCCCTGTTCCTGCTTCTATATGACATCAGTAGTTCCTATGGTATTATGGTGTATATGGCTGATTCTTCGGTGTCGTAGGGGGTTGCACAACTATTTGGTCATACAATGGTTGACAGTGATTTGGTTTTCAATTCGACGGTGGATGGTGATTTGTCATCCAATCGTTGACAATTATCTCTTCACTCTGACAGTCCAAATTTTGTAGGACTGTTGTTGTGCACATTGTTGTGCAGAGTAGCACAGCACCGTAGAAAGTCCTTGTGTACATTACAAGTTACACGTTAGAAATTACACGAAGCTATCTGTTGATGATTTATTGCACCCATCACGCCAATATTAGACAAAGACCCAAATAGACTTTGACAAACATAAGGAACCGTCATGCATCAGTCCAATGGTGTTTATATATAACCGTCACATGGCACTCACGTTGACATCTACTGTCCTGTTTTGTGACGTTCTGACATGTTACAAGAACACATGTCGCACGGTGAGTGGGACTAGTATTTTGCTGATGTGTAAACACGGTACGTAATATTTTCTCCTGTTTTGTGACGTTCTCACATATTGCAAGGACACTTTTTCTGTACTTTGTTGACGCCAAGAGGATGAGATGAGCACCCCTAGTTTGCTTGAAAAACTACAGCGACACTCCATGCAATACGACAAATATACTTACATCCTCTACTAACAATATATGCAATTTTTGCAATGACGAGGCCTTACAAATAGAAAGGAACAATCTATTCCGCGAAAACATTACTATCCAATAGAAATAAACTTTTGGATTAGAAAGCATTTCCATTCCATCATCCGGAATCCCTGGCCATATACAATTGAAGAAATCGCCATATTCCGAGATTATGAAATGGAAACAGTCACATTGAATGATGTGATTTTCTCTAACATAGTATGGATAACCAGGTAAAGTCGCTGACGGAAGTGACAGCAGATTATAGTGGAGGCTCGAGTTGGGATGATACTGACCCGTCGGTCTTTGAAATGAACGTTGTCGGCGGTTTACAAGGTGAATACCAAATAACAAATGGATATGGCCCAAGTACTGCCCCAAAACTCCTACGGGTAATCCTTAATTAATTAGTGACAAAGAAAGCATGTAACAATGATACAGTGACTAAGTAGATCAGTAATCTATTAACAAATGGGCTCTGCAGGATCATTGGAACAATTACATTACCGAGCAGGACTTCGAATTTATGGTGGCCAATGGTCTAACTGCCGTTAGGATTCCGGTAGGATGGTGGATTGCGTATGATCCGGCACCGCCAATGCCTTTCGTGGGAGGCTCACTGAATGCACTGGACAATGCTTTTACGTGGGCAGAGTAAGCAACTTTTCGATCCTTTTACCTCTTATGCGAATAACTCCAACAGAAATGTTGATCCGTTGTGATCGAAGTTGCAAGAATCCTGTGAGTCTAAACTTGATAATTGAATATTTCTTTTTGCAGGAAACATGGTATGAAGGTAATAGTTGATCTCCATGCTGCTCCAGGATCTCAAAACGGCGCAGAACACAGCGCTTCAAGAGATGGATATCTGGAATGGGGTGACTCTTACATTCAGGACACTGTGAAAGTTATAGAGTTCCTAGCAGCAAGGTCTAGCAAATGAATTCTCACTTTGAACAAATCACTCATGACATATATCTCTCTAGTATTGCTGATGAATCGTAACCCATGGTATTGATATTTAGAATGCTAGATCTTATAATCCGATGATTTATAGCATGCTTCCTTATGATTGTCAAGTAGATATGGTAATTCAGGACACTATGAAAGTTATAGAGTTCCTAGCAGCAAGGTCTAGCAAATGAATTCTCACTTTGAACAAATCACTCATGACATATATCTCTTTAGTATTGCTGATGAATCGTAACCCATGGTATTGATATTTAGAATGCTAGATCTTATAATCCGATGATTTATAGCATGCTCCCTTATGATTGTCACGTAGATATGGTAGCCATCCGGCATTGGTCGCGATCGAGCTGATGAACGAGCCTCTAGCTCCGGGTATCAAGTTAGAGGATCTTATTAAATACTATCGGTTAGGTTACGAGGCCGTGAGGAGGCACACTCCGGATGCTTATGTCATTTTGTCCAACCGGATAGGACCAGCCGACCCGCAAGAGCTCCTTGAGTTTGCGGGGGGCTTGAGCCGAGTAGTCATTGACGTGCATTACTACAACCTCTTTGATCCGAAGTTTAAACAGTGGAATCTGCAGCAGAACATTGACTACATCTATAACGATAGAGCTTCCGATCTGAGCAAAGTAACCCCAGCAAACGGCCCCTTGAGCTTTGTTGGTGAGTCAAGCAAGAGAAGCATGTTTACATAGAACACACACATACACATGACGCATGTGAGGCGTGAGAGCACATACAAGTTATGACATGTGAGCTAAATGGATTTTGCAGGGGAATGGACCTCGGCATTGGACTTTGACGGTGCAACAAAGGAGGATTCGGGAAAGTTTGCCAAGGCTCAGCAAGACGTGTACGGGCGCGCCACTTTTGGGTGGGCGTATTGGTCTTATAGGTGCAAGTACGATACCTGGAATCTCAAACGGATGATTCAAGACGGTCTCATAAAGATCTAGCTTGATTCCTCATCCTTATCAAGCGGGTCATCATCATGAATACTGAGAACAGATTGGTAATCTGTTTACGGATTTCATGTACTATCAAAAGTTGCCTTTCTGGCGACATTAGTTGAATTAAATAGGATTGAACTCGACCATGCTTCCACTACACCTTACTCGTTTGCATTCCTGAAAGATTGAACGTGACTGTTTAGCCTATTATCTTTTTCTGGTGAAAACGAGAACATTCGCCCGACAAAAAGTTCGATTTTCTCTCTCAATGCTGATGTTGGTTTCTCTGAGGAAAGATAAGGCTATGACATGTTAACAATCTTGTTAGTTAGGATGATAAAACAAAGGAAAGATAAGGCCATGACATGTAAACAATCTTGTTAGTTAGGATGATAAAACAATAGTCCCTCTATTTTTTTTTTCAGAAAATCAAAATCGCCACTTTACCCTTTTTTTTTGGTACTTGTATACTTTAAACCATATTAAAATCGCCACATTTCTTGGCGACACCTCTCAGACGAAGCTGGTGATTGGCAAGAAGAGAGACCTCCATGAAGTGAGGGTGTTCGAGGAGGCCATTCTGGGTGAGGTTATACACGACTTTGAACTTTTCTGAGCTGCGGTCTCTGATCTCTTGGATGCATGGAAACTCTGGTTCTGTTCGGGCTTATCTCTCTGCCTCTTCTCGAACGCGAGCCCATCTCCTTCCTCTCCTCTCTCTCTCTCTCTCTCTCTCTCTCTCTCTCTCTGTTCTCCTCTCTTTGGTGGTTGAAGGAATTTTACCAACCACACCAGTTCACGACCACACACTCGCGCGCAAAACCGAAGCGGGAACCGAAACTGAGAAGGAGATGGGAGTGATTGAGACAATACTTTTAAGATAGAGGTAAAAAAGGGTAGGGGTCAGATTTGCCGCTAGGGGAGTGATGTTGTTGACTTTGGGTTTGCTCTGATCCGCATTCGAAAACCAAAACGGGTAGAAATGAAAACTGTCGAGAGAAATCTACAGAGTTTGGGCAGTGTGCATCCGTGATGACGAAGGTGGTGTCAGAGGCCAAGATTCTAGGACACAGTGAAGCGTCCCTGATATTAAATGCCTGCACTCTGTCGCTATTGCCTTCATTAATCGCGTCGAGGTCCCGACATCAGCACAACCAGTCTCTGCAGCTTTCGTTGTCCTCTCTGAATGTATGCCTCAAATATTATTTCCTAGTCTCTATGCAACATCTCGATATTCAAAAGCCAAAAGCCCGGTTCTTCTGTTGCAGGATAATTACACAAATAGTTTTTTAATTTTGACCCAATATGTAATGTGATCCCTAAACTTTTAGTTTATTCAATGTAGTCCCTAAACTTTAACATAATATTTAATATGATCCATAAACTGTTAATTTATTCAATGTGGTCCCTAAACTTTTAGTTTATTCAATGTAGTCCCTAAACTATGTGAAAATATTCAATGTAGTCCCCGAACTAGAATTAATGGAAGGACTATATTGAACAAATATTGAACATTTTCACATATTTGAGGGAGTAAATTGACCAAAAATTCACGGACTGCATTAAACAAATTAAAAGTTCAGGGACGATATTGCATATTAGGTCAAAGTTTAGGAACAGTTTGTGTCATTTTCCCTTCTTTTGCTGATTTGAGAGCATGTCAACAATCCCCTAGTGTCGCCTCACAAACTTAACTTAGGAAACGATATGCATGTATACATTAGTTGTTAAATGACACAACCTTGGTGGCTAAAAAAGAAATCAGGAAGACAACGCAAACTTATTCTTTTGAAAGCATGAGTTGTAATTTGCATGAAGTACTCAAGATCAACATTAAATTTGATTATAGCAACTCTTTTTAGCCGTTTCCTTTTCAATATAAAGAATGATAAAGGGGATTAACCATACTTCACTAACTGAGAAGAGATTGTTGAAAATGGATGAGTTTTTGGCACAATGGGAAAAAGTCGAAGACAACTCATGACGGATGAACTTACGGAGCGAGCATAACTTGAAAGCTACACGAATCGATACCTTCTTTGATAAATAGTCAGTTCTACGCGCAACGTGAATCGGCGCCGAAGATATGTGTCCATCCCATGCGGGGCACCTGCAGCTAGCGAGGCTATGGATTACCTGTTCCTTTTCTCCTTACATGTGCTCTGTCCATTGTCAAATCCGTGCCTATTTCCCAAACCCTTATCTTGTTCCGACGGTACAAGTACCTGTTCCTTTTCTCTTTGCCTACTTTTTTTTCTCTACCCCTTCAAAGAAATCACCAACCACACACCGATCGTCCAATATCGTTCTCTTCGAAAGTCCAAAGAGTTTTCCTATATGTAAGAGCTTTTGATGCTTCTTGGTATATCTTCTGAACGTGTGTATTCTCTTTCCTTTGAAAAAGAAAATTGAATTTCAAAAGATAGTGAAATCAAATCCTCACGATTTGCTGGTTTCTTCAATCATTGAACAACTTTCAGCCTTGAGCTTTCATTCTTTTTTCGATTTGACAGAAATTAAGTTTATAGATTCCGTCTCACTAGAGGAAGCATTATCCTCTTCTTCGTCGGTTGGGTCATCTTCACAGTTGTGAGCTTTGACACTTAATCAATGTCATGAGCTCCTGTCATCAATTCGTCTAGGGTGGCTTGATGCTTTGAAGAATATACGAAAACTCCATATCCATGCCTTGAATGCATATTTCAATGTCAGAGGGGTTGGAGAGATGATATCTGCAATTAAACATGAAGATTTCGCCATCGTAGTATGTAATCGACCACAGATTCATCTTCCTCTTGGCTGATACTGGTGAGCTCGAGTTGATTTAAGTTGCGATTTTCTGTTCAAGGGAAATTTCCGAGCCATGACGTGCTAAAAATTTGTACACAAACAAATTTCAAGTCTAAAACAATACTAGAAAATTAGTGCCAAATTTGTTAATATCAAAAGATGCAGGTACAATCTCTACTTTGACAACTCGATTACAAATATATCTCTGATTTTTTTGCTTCACGAAAACGTTTATTCGAGTGTCTAATTAGTTGATCTCCAATCAGACAATGGAAAATTGATTGTTTGAGTGTCTTTGAAGCTTGAGCCGATTGAATTCAGACGAACAGTGACAAAGACGGACTTTGAAGCGTGTTCCAGTGAAACTATGATGATGTTGACGTACGCAACGGGGCTCGGAAGCTTTAGTCCAACGAGACTTTGTTGTTATTCACGTCTTTGAATTCTTTGAGTTCTTCGCGCTCTTCAAGTTTGTCGCTTTCTTTGAATTCTTTGTGTTCTTGAAACTTGAGGATGTTGATTATGTTAGAATATTTAATGGAAAATGATACTAAAAGTGTCATAATTATTGTAAGCAGCTCACTTTGGTGCTAAATTTTTTTGTTGTATCACTTAAGTGTCACTTTAAAAAATAATTATCACTTAAGTACCAACTTTGATTTGAGACTCTAGAAATCCAACATTACAATAGCTTACCATTTCTTCTGATCCGTGGCTCGCTGGCGTGCCCAATCTGTATTAATAGACCTAAATGACGCCATCTAGCACATGATTGCACCAAATTCAACCTTTCTTTAGACCCTAACCTCACAACAGATGATATGGGGAAAAATTCAGCCTCATCTCAAACCCTAACCTCACAATCATGGATTTGAGGCAAAATTGGTAAGCGAAACTTACAATAAAGGTCTACTACGTCATTTGTGTGATTTTGTCTCACTGGAATTCCAATTTTTACCATGGGATTTGAGGAAGGAGATGGAGTTGGGGGAGAAGAGGAGGACGACATCGCCCTTGCGGATGCCCATGCCAAAAAGGTGGAAGGCGGGAGTCGATAGAGCGCCAGAGCTCGTGGAAGGGGATGTAAAGGCCGGAGGGCCGTGGAGCCGCGACGCGAATTAGAGGAGATGAAGGTGGTGATGTCGAGGTAGAGGGGAATGGGTTGGTCTTTCTGTAGAAGATGGAGCTGGAGTTGCAGAAATCGCTTTTGAAGTCGATTTGCAATGGGTTGGCCGCCATTGAAGATGAATCCTTACTTCTTGAGAGCTTTTAGTCTCAAGCCAAGGTGATCTCTGATACTTCATTAGAGAGAGAAGAGAGAAGGAGAGAGAGAATATGTTTTAAGCCAGGTCATTATCCGTGTTGGACTTCATTTGTTTATAAGAAGGCTAAGTAGACATTAAAATTTCTTCAAAAAGCCACGTAAGACGTATTGCCGAAATTTGTCGCCGAAGGCACTTAAGTAAACGTATTTTCTCCAATTTGGCACTTAAGTGATTCGGAAAAAAAAATTGACAGTAATGTGAGCGCCGTACGAAAGTTATTAAACTTCTAGCGTCCTTTTTTTAAATATTTAAATATTAATCACGCTTTTATTTAACAGTTTAAACTTTCAGAATAGTTGGCTATGGTCCACAAAAATCTTTCGTAATATCAGAGTAGCAGGTATGAGTTCAAATCTTTTCAGTACTTTATTTACCCTTTGTGGGCGGCTCTATTTCCGCCCCCTATACAACTAATTCACCCCATTTCCCATTGAAAAGACAAAATTATCCTCAATGATATAACTGTAATTTAAAGTGTGACCCCAAATCAATTTACTTTCCTTATTTTATTTTATTTTCATTTTCTATTTAGGATATAGTTACCATAATTAAGCAATTCATGTTTTTTTTTTGTTTATTGTGGGTAATCCGTATATTTATTAAAGGCACAATGTTTTCATTTTTATTGTTGGATTTTACTTCCATAGAAATAAGTTTTGTCGAGTAAACAAGTGATGGTAATATACACAATAAAAGTGAAAGTTTATAAATAAGTGATCTTATTAAAGAAGTGTCTATGTTAAAATTTTTCTAGATTTTACTTAACAACGTAGAAAGAATTAGGTTTCTTAGAAAATTTTCTTTTCAACAAAACTAATTTTGTAAAAGTGATCAATTATAATTAATTAATTTTGTAGTTGATCGCCCAATTCTGATTAGAATTGAAATCATGTTTTTATTGGGTTATTTTTTGTCTCCAATGTTGTTTTCTCCAAATTTCTGATAGAGAAAACCGGTGCTCCTTTTATAATTGAAAGTGCGGAGGATGACGGGGTTGGCATCATAGATAGAAAGGCCCCGTTTGGTTC